TACCTTTTCACGTCCGATCGGGGATTCGAACCCCGGCCGCATTAAGTGCGCTATCCACTGCGCCACCCGACCACCCAAATAGACGTTCATAAATGGAATAATTAAAATGTTATCAGAAGAAAATTGAATATTTCTAGTATCGTGAATAGATGTTATTCGGAACACCTTGTCTTATTCATGTACATTTTTAATAACTCCCATGTAAATATTTCCTCTGTTCATATCTTGCTCTAGATTTATCGATTTGGAGTTCGAATTATGGAATTTGTTGACACTTTGGTATTCTATTGTTGTTTTTTCAACCTGGATCTGTCGAAACGCAGAGTTTAAGATTGTCAGCAGTTAAAATATATCACGAAAATGTTTATATAAATATTTATCGGAGGCACGGTAGTCTATTAACACGAAGCCGGGCTCGTGACCGAAGGGTTGCGGGTTCGAGTCACGGTACGGCACTGTGCTGTATATTTGAGCAAGATACTTGACTCCGCTTGTTCCAGTCTACTCAGCTGTAAATGAGTACGTGGTTGGGCAGTGCTAGAATTGTTGAATGCTAGCTGTTAGAGCCGAAATGGCAGCTCCGACTGTATGCTCCCCAGGGAGTTGAGAAAGGTATCGGCTGGCTGCAAAGGCCCTATAACCACAGATAATAATCTGTAAACCGCTTTGAGACGACCTACGAACTAGGTTGTGATAAAGCGGTATATAAGAACCTCGAATTTTTTATTTTTTTATTTTTTTATAATAAGCAAAGCAAATGACGTTTTAGCTATAAAACACGCTGACGAACTACATAAAGCCCCATCAGGTTTGATCAGCAACAGTAAATCGTGTTATTTGATCACAACATCATTTCCTAAAGCAGTTATTGCTGATTAAAAATCAATTCTGGCGCCATTACCTTATGTTTACATTTCCGTTTCATACCCAATGTACCGAATCAAAATGCTGCTTTGGAAGAGATATTGCACGAAACTTTTTTTCAGATCTGAAGCTGTTGCAGTCTACCAGTAAGAGGCAATCAAACAAGAGTTATCAGAGCACCTATCACGTCGTGATTTCAAATTAATAATCAGACGGATATTCCAGGTTTGTTTCCGGTTGACGTTTGTCGCCTGAGGGAAAGGGTAACCATGGAAATACGACCTTATTCCCGCAGCAACAATTGCTACAATGACTCCATACTATAATACCATAATCTATAATACCATAATCTATAATAACCTGTAGTAATAAAGATCTGTATTCCATTTAATCTAGATAAACCTCTAATCAACTCAGCAAACTTGTTTCCTTAAAATTGATAACATAGCAAAACCTTAACTTTTCGCTGTCCCTGCAGGTAAGGTGAATGAATTGTACCTGCTGCCCCCATTGCTTGATCGTAAGAGGCGACTAAATTTGGAATCTTATCTTTTCTCTTCTTTCTTAGCAACTTTCTTCTTCCTAATGTTTCCCTTGACAATGCTTCACTTTTGGCCTTTAGATGAGCGTTCGCCCCTGTGAGGTGGGCTTCGGGTTCTGTCCCCTGGCCGAGACACACCATAGTCTGTAGAAATGGTAGTTTCCTCCTGCTTAACGCTCAGCAATTTAGGAGTGGGACGACTAGTTCGCCCGTTGTCAGTATAATGTGACCGGTTGGGTGTCCTGCTGGGTGTCTTCTGCGGTATGTTTCAGTGAGGTAGCACTATAAAGTCGGCATCAGTTCCGCGCTATCATAAGTCAAACACGAACATATCGCAGCCTTCCAAAACACACACGGGAGGCCGTCCTTAAATGAACAATACTAAACCTTTAAATATGCTTGGTTCCCAGACATAGTGGGAATACATTGTACTATTGTGAAAAAAGCAATAATCTGCTCGGACTCGTTATCATTGCTACAAAGTATTAAAAATAGGAACTTTAAGAACATTCTCATTCATAGCATTGCTCTTCGTATTAACAGGATTTTAATGTTCTGACAACTGATAATCATATGGATACTCGGTCATGTCGGAATAAGTGGAAATGCGAAAGTAGATAGAGTTGCCAAAGCATAGGCCATATATACATCAAGAGCAACCTTATTGTCATACATGTGATCAGCCATCAACAGTCAAACATTTTATGATTGAATGCACTGATTTCAAACAAAAACGTGGCTGATTCGATAATGTATCTGCTTCTTCTTCTTCTTCTTCTTCTTCTTCCGTCGTAAATGTTTTCGACACATGTCTCAAAAACTATTGGACAGAAATTAATGACACTTTACACAAGTGTTCATTATGGTTAGGGGGTGTGCAAATGACCTTTCATTTTCCGATCGGTCAGCAAAGATGGCCGCCGCGGCCTCATATGGTTGGTCGAAATTAAATATTGCTCGATTTTCCTCAAATTTGGTATGTTGGTGTACTTTAGCATCTTTGAGACAATGGGGGCAGTTTGTGGGATATCTGTAATGTCCTACATTACAATTAGTACTTCTTACTTTTGCTTTGAAGAAAAGAGGCACCTAATCAATGTAGGAACTCCCTGAAGAATGTTAGGATGCACATGGCATTTCAGTGAGGTAACATTATAAAGTCGGTATCAGATCCGCGCTATCAGCATACCCTGCCTCCAACCCTCATTCACACATGCACGCATGCATAACACACATGGAGCCGTGTCCTTAATTAAACGAACTTGTTGGTGAATAGGACGTTACACAAAGTTAAAACAAACCAAAAAACAGCGACAAAAAAATAAATGCCGCACCCAGGATCTTCCTATTTCCTCCTTATTCTTAACAATCGTTGTGTTCTAGTGCCCCTCTTAGCAATTCCTCACGTTTGGCCTTAGTGTTGGACATCTGCCAAAGTAAGGATACTTAGAATTTAGGGTAATTGGAACAACAGGTTTTCCCCGTTATCAACATAATGTGACCGAGAAGATACTGTGCTTGGTGCCTTCTGCACGATACTTTAGCCAGTAGCACTGAATGTCGGCATCTGACCCCCGCTCTCGCAAAGAGGCAAATACGCTACCGTACTTTCTCAAGCAGAAACAAGACATATAGTGGTGTAGCATACATCATGTATGCTTGTATGCTTAAGCATACATTAAACAATTGAAGAATTTGTTTCTATAATCATATATTTTAATTAATTTCTTTATTTTTATGATAAATATGGACCGTCCGTATCAATCATAAAACAAAACAAAAGAAATAAAAAAATCTTCTTGAAAACTTTAGTCTGATAAAATAGTGTTATGTTTGTCTATTCACATTGACAAATCTCGAAGGTTTATGTAAATCAAACACTACTAAGTGAAGTACATCATGGATCTTTACATATACTGAAACACCCAAACGGACTCGACTCTTGAGAAAACTTAAAATATATATATAAATACAGAAAAATCCCACATTATAATTTTGACAAATCAGGCGGCATAACATCCTTTTTCATGTAATAATAATAATAATATACAACATTTAAATAGCGCCCTATATACAGTAATTGGTAAAATTACTCTAAAGCGCTTTACAACATATGGATCATTAAACTGTAGAACAAGGGGTCTAATAAATGTGAGAGAGTGCTAATTTGAAGGAATCAAGAGAATCAATTCAAGAGAATCAATAGGGGTGATATATCGCGGTAGGTTGTTCCAGTCGGAAAAAAGTTATTGGAAAAAAAAAAACTTCTCTTCTTTTCTACACTGTGTTTTGCAAGATGGTATTTGATAAGAATTTTGATGGGAATAGCGGGAGAGGTGATTTGGTGGAATGCGCGAAGTTTCCCTTATAGTTACCAAGTAATTTTTATTTTTGTAGAGAGTGGTAAGCCTTTGATCTTTTATTCAATCAGCTAAAAAGCGCCGTTCTAGAGTGTTGAGCATGTAACCAACGCTGGATGTGTTCCTAAACTTGTTGGAGACATAACGGGCTGCTCTACGTTGAACCATTTGAATTTTGTTTATTTACGTCTGATTCGGTGTGTGGGTCCTAGGTAGAACAGGCATACTCTAAGGAAGGTCCTACTAGAGATAGATATGACTGTTGTTTGACAGTTTTGGATCATATTTTGATGTTTCTTCTTAAAAAACCTAATGTTGAATTTGCTTTAGACTGGCCCCCAATTCAATTAACTCTAATAATTTTTATCACCTGGATGTCCGGTTTTTAACTAGGGGCAGATAATTATAAGCTAGTAGTAAAATGCAGCCAGGAAATCCTTCATAAAAACTTAGGGGCTGGTAGCCAGTCTAAATTTGCGTTCGGGCATATAATATGGGTTTCACACTTTAAATTTGATTGTAGAGTATTCGTAATTACTCCCAGATATTTTGCTTCAGAGACATGTTGTAGTTGTATTCCGTGGAGAACGTATGGATATAATGGACAATATTTTTGTTGTTAGAGATGGAAAGTGTTATACATTCAGGATGAAAGGACCTATCCCATCGACTCTCCCACTGTGCCAATTTGTCAAGATCTTTATGTAGTGTAACTGCATCTGACTTGGAACTTATAGTTAGGTATATAATAGTGTCATCTACAAAAAGCCGCGCAGTTGAATTCATGTTCAGGGGGATGTCATCAATGAAGAAGAGAAAGAGAAAAGGACCGATGACGGAGCCCTGAGGTAGATGTACCCTAGACTTGACTTTGACACTTTCCGATTAAATACCTTCGACAAGCATGGTTTACTCTGTCAAAGGTTTTGGAAAAGTCCATAATAAGGACATCAGTCTGTTTATCGCTGTCTACAGCCTGTAATTATAAGGTATCGTCTAAAAACTCTATCAGCTGACTTTCGCATAACCTATATTTACGAAAACCATGTTGAAGTTGGTATAGCATATTATAATAATCACTATTATGAAGTAATGTGACATCAAAAAATCAGATAAATCTGTCATGCACATTGCCCTTTGATTTGGTCAATAACTTAAATAATTCCGTTCTAAACATTTTCTCCAGATTCCGGATTCTACTTATTCTGGTCTATAATTAGTATCAACCTCACAGCATGTGCGACTTCCGGTCATAACTTAGAAGTAAATTTTGAAATGGTCGGTTAAAAACTGCTGTTTATTTCGATTTCAAGGCCCCGATTGCACCACCATGGCACACTGGACACCGAACCAGTATCTCCAGTCCGTAAGTTCAACAGAAAGTCTGTGTCAGTGATGCGTACGTAGGCCAAGCTGTCCAATGTACAGACGTCAACTCATACTGTAATCGCTCACAGGTGTTTGAAATTCTGACTGTAAATTGAGATCAAAATGATATAAAAAAATAAAGGTATAAATATAAAAAAAGGAGTAATACCCTTATTTTTTAATAAGAGTTTAATCCCAATTTATAGTCAGAATTTCGAACACTTTTGTATCGACGAATCCTTCATTGTATGCCTAGATCATCTGATCATTGTTGTTATATCTGATATGATGTCGTAGTTGCGATGTACTTGTCGAACCCCTTTGTTTATGTATATATCAGTTATGGTATCATTCCTTTTTACGGAATACCCTGTTAACTGGTTAATTGAGATAAAAAAAAAGTGTCCATATGATGCTGACAAGTGACAATAACATCAAAGGAACTATGTTGTAAAGGGACACCCTATTGTAGTAATGAGTGTACAGGGTAGGAATGTGTCCAGAGTGTTTTCACGCGTCCAGGAATTCGTTTTTCCACATTTTTCAATTTTTGAACATTTCCAATACATACACAATGCACCCTTACCTAACCACATGCAAAGATTCAAGTTGATCATACAAGTGCAAAGTACGGAAATACATCGATATATTTATGCAGAATTTCGCACTCTATATAATGCAAGGGAAGCAACTCGTTATAGAACAAGACGTACTAAAGATAGAAATCTTAAGAATTGGTGTTAACAATTATTAATTATCAATTAATTTCAATTATCAATTTTTATCATACATTTTATGCTTGATATATGCACCAGTTTTAATCAAACTAAGTTACATTTTTAGAATACTTCACGTAAACATAAGAAATAGTTTGATAAAGTCATTTAATTGCCCAGCATACTTATTGCTGTCACTTTGAAGATTTTGAAAATATTTTTCTTCTCTCATAATTTTAAAGTTGTTTAACATGTTAAAGTGTACCCTGAACGAAAATAGTAATGAATTGATTATTATGTATAGCCGCACAAAATTGGTCAGCCAAATGCAGATATTGACATGTACATTTAATTAAAGTGAACAATTTGTACCTGCCCTTCTACTACACCATGGAAGTAAGAGGCAAGAGTGATAGCATCAGATTGCAATTTAACCCTTTCACCCCTATATAACTTGAGTAGACTCTACCATTCATTGATATGGATGAGTCCATTATGGTCTACAGTGATGAATGGGTTAACACCAGCTTTGAGGAATCGGATGATGCTGACAATATTATAAAATCAAAGGAACTATGTTGTAAAATTCATACCACATTATAATCATGATATGAAGTTGTGTCTCTTTTAAAATAAATTTGATTCAACGATTTTTGCAAAAGTTATTGCCCTTTGTTCATTTCAGTATTTGTTTTTTTTGTCCAGAGACTTCTTCTACATTTTTTATAGCATGTCAGCTTACCACTCTTAGAATGATGCAGATCTTATTTCAATGTGACAACTGACCAATTACGATGTAACTGTCTGTGAGTTATACAAACAGGGGATATTCTTTATGCTAAAAGCCAGACATTTAAATTTCGGGATTGAAGATGTTGGCTATAATGGCAAACTGGAATGGAATGAAAACTCATTAAGTGCTGTTAGTAATGCTTTACAATGAACATCCTTTTCAGATATTGCACAAGTAATTTTTATGAAAACTTAGAAGATTGGTGATGGAGTATTATAACAATTACTCAAATTAACTTCTGGCTCTTATTTGTGTTGGATACTTGCAACTTCAAATATTGTATAATTATTAAAATCACTTTGACCACTAACATATATTTTAACATTTTTATGTTTTAAAACACCATCAGCTTCAAAATGTAAAAAAATAAATAATAAATTTTGGAGGGCAATCTTCCACTTCTCAAGCATCAGACGTGGTATTCCAAACTGGCGAGGGCCAACATGTCTGTGCCCCCCCCCCCATATAGTTCATATTTGTAATGGTACTGTACCTTGGAAGAGGGCATGGTAAAGCTGAGCCCCCAAACAGAATCAGATGGGCCTGAACTTCCAGTGGACCACTAGAGGGCACAGTGAAGCAGTGGTCCCTTATGCTAACCCGACCTTGTCCAACTCCCACCACCACAACAATCATCTCCAGCATCATGAAAAACACCATGTAGATCCGAATCTGCCTCTCCAGAAGGAACATCTCATCCATGATTCTTGATCAGCAGCTTCCAGTCGCAATCTGACTAGTTTTGGGAGCTAAGAACTGTCCTCTAACCAACCCCATGTAAAGATGGTTGGAACTATGCACACCATCTCTCTCGACAGCATTTCTGCCAATATAGATATATCTGCATAACAATGAATACTTTCATATTTCAGATGGATGATGCACTTTCAGAAAAAGATGGTGTTGTATGCGCAGTAAGTGATTTATTCATTTGACCTGATCTATGTCTTGTGGTAACTTATTTTGATTCGAACATGATGTTATATAATTATGATTCAACAATAATTGAAAATTAGTCGTAAAACAAAATTCAACTATAATTAATTGATGTCAAAAAGATTAATTGTTACGACAGTTCAGAAATGATACAGCGTCATCATCTGCATGGATAGGCATATTTTTCTACTAAACATTTATAGTATATTCTTCTTGAATATGAACTAATACAGTTTATTTAGAGGCAATTTCCAACTCCACGACTAGAAATTAAAGGCATAATTACTCCTTTGAGAATAGTTTGTTCAGTATTTAATGATTAATGAATAGAAAGAGTGCCACAGATTCAAAGCTTCAAAATACTTTTTAACAAGAAAATCTATATTAGCTTAAAAAAACAACAATTATAATTGATTATCAATCAGTTATGTGCTATTGTGAAAAATCTGCAAGGTGTGGCACAAACAGCCTTTGACATATTCCAGGGGTGCAGAGAAGATTTGTGTATCAAGAGCAGAACACGTAACTCATTAATGATGTGTGAAGAATTTCAGGTTTTGTAATTATTTTTTTCACAGGAGTTACTGTCCTTTAACCATCCTCACATTGCCAACCCGCGCCTCCAGATGGAGTATCCGGAGTCAACTGTTCAGAGAGTGTTTGACCCTCCATGTGATGAGCTCATCGCAGCCCATTTACGGTAACCAAATCTATATCGCAATTGATACACACTATATCATAGATCCTACATGTGATGTGGACAAAATAATCTCAATCTGAGGGTAAAATCCATGAAGCTTTGTCAAATGCTAAAAACTTCAGAACTCTTATATCCCAAAGGCTGACAGATATTTAAAGTACACGTAAGAAAGTTGTGATTAATTTTTCTGTGCAAACTTTGTTTGCTAATATGGGATATGCTTCATCTGTCTGGCTGATTCGTTTTCATCTTAAAAAAGCTCAGGGAAAAAATTGATATTTTCAAAGAGGTGGCCAGTCCAAACGCTTTTTCATGGTTTCTGAGCTTATTCTGGTGGTTGAAATGAGAGAAAAATACTCTTTCATGCCCAAGGGTGTAGGATAGGGAAGCCTCAGGTTTTACCAAATTTGAAAACCCTTAGGGTGGAATTTCCCTATCCTACACCCCTGGGCATGAAAGAGTCTTATACTATCCCCCCGAAGAAGTTAGGGGTAGGGGGGGTATACTGGAATCAGCTTGTCTGTCCGTCCGTCCATAGAAAAAGTTTGTCCTGACAACTCCTTCTAAAGTAATGGACCAATTTCAATGAAACTTTTCAGATATGATATCTACCACCTGACATTGTGTATCCAGGTATTATTTCATCAATCTGGCCCTTTTTAGGTCACCTGAGCTTTGCTCAAGTGACCTATTCCAATCGCTTTTCGTCCGTCGTCGTCCGTCGTGCGTCGTGCGTAAACTTTTACATTTTCAACTTCTTCTCAAGAACCAGTGGATGGATTTTTTTCAAACTTGGTCAGAATCATCCTTGGTAGATGAGGCTTCAAAATTGTAAAATTGGGATTCCTACCCCGACCCCTGGGGCCAGGGCGGGGCCCCAAAGGGAAAATTA